CAATGGAACTCTCCAAATGTTTAATAGAAATCTCAATCCAAAAGCCTGTAAGATAAGCAAATCCCAGCAAATTCAAAAGGGAAAAAGTAAACTATAACAATAAAAAAAAAATCCACTACAACTACCCCTCCAAAAAAAAAAAGACATTATTCTAGGGGCCTTTATAAATCAGTGCAGGGAAAAAAAGACATAATTCTAGGGGGTTTATAAATCTGAGGGCCACATTAACCATTAGGTCGCTTTTGGTCGATCAACGATGGTTATTGATTCCGGGAACGTTTTCTGTTCAGGTCCTTTCATTTTTCTTGTTTTTTTGATATATAAATATATTTATATATACCTAGAACCTGAGTGACCCCTGTTTTGGAGTCAAAACATGGTCTTTTCCTATCAAAACAGAGGTCAAATGGGTTCTAGGTATACCTAGATCTTCAGTCCGGCACTTTTACAGGGTCCGGCGCCGGACTTCCAACTCCGGCGTTTTTCTGGATTTGGTCCGGCGCGTTTTCCAAGTCACTTTATGTGGATTCTCAAGGCTTTGCATTCTTTGTGGTCTGCATTTCTTTGAAGGTAAACCCACTACTGATGCAATGATTTTGTTTGCAAAGTGTGCTCGTTTGCCTGTTCCGCTGTTTTCGCATTCCACCGGTTTCAGCATGGTTCACAGGTGATCTTCTAAATGAAATCGGATGAAGCCGGTACAGTGCGATGCACCTGTTGAAAGACCCAAGTGGGCGTACCTAAGCTGAAAGAGCATAGGCAAAAATGTACTCCCATTGTTTCAGGATGTCGGGGCGCTGGGATATAGTTCTAGTTGCGCAGGCTTGCAGAGCCTGCCGGACAAGTTTTGGGCTGTGGAACATGTGTTGTTCAGAATCTCAATGTTTTGCAGAGAGTTGTCAAAAAATAGCACGTCGATGCACGTCGTAACTCCGGCGTAATTTGCCGTAACTCCGGCGTAATTTCCCGTAACTCCGGCGTAATTTCCCGTAACTCCGACGTATTTTTTTGGACTGAGTCTTCTGCAGGCTTTGACTTTGAACAGTTTTTCAGAGAAGAGTTTTGACAGGAACCATGAGTGCTACTTTATTGGGGGGCCGTCCTGAGGCAAGCTTTAAAGAAACATAAAGAAGCAAAAAAATCATGGAGAGCAACCCACTTTGTAAAAAAATACTTTAGAGACACGGTTGCAGAGAAAGATGAGTTCATTGCCACATGCTCATTGGTTTCTTCTTGGAAGTCTTTGCTTGGGCACAAATTGCTTATATTGTGTGATGGTTCTGCTCTTAGGCCATTCGGAAGATGGGCGAGGGCAATGGGAACGGGAAGGCTCGAGTGTGCTCCAGAAAAAACTATTCGCGGCACAAAGGCAATTTCCTTGTGTATGATCCAACCTTTTATCATCTCTGTCTTTCAGAATCTTGGATCCGATGTTTTTTCAGGTCTCCGGCGTTTTTTTCGGAATCCGGCGGAACATTTTGCCGGATTGAGGTCCGGCACTTTTTTCGCCCAAAGGAGGATCCAGGTATATATATATATATTCAGATGTTTCGTACTTACAGAGACTTACTTCCCTTGTCCTCATTTTCTTTTACACATTCAGTCATCGATGTGTAAGATAGATAGACTCTGAGTCATCTTCGCGCGTCCACGGCCTCCAACCGCCTGTTTTTTCACGCACCAAGACCGGAGGTGTTCCACCGGGCAAGAAACCGCCCGCGACCTGGCGGGTTTCAGCTTGCTTCTCCATCGCAGGAGCTGGATGATAAGCTTCAGGAGGCCGTGGTACAGAAGAACCACCTCTTGCAGGTCCGCGTTCGTTTCGGGTGGCGCGTTTCGAGAGACTTCCCCCGGGGGGGTTCGGAGGTCTAAGCCGAGGGAGCGAGGAAACGATCGCGGGCGGTTTTGCCGCCGTGTGACGTGTGAAGGGGATCCAAGAAACTGATGATTGGGTTTTGGGGGAGCGTCTGGTTTAGCCTGGCTCAGCGATGGGAAGATGACCTGCAGCAAAATTCAAGTCAATTGGTTTGGTGCTTCGAATTCTTAGGGAATCTTGGTCGTACTAGGGATTTTAGGCAGCAAAGCTAAAGCATTTTGACTCAAGTCAAGGCCAACCGCCAGACCGATTTGCCAATCTTGAACTCAGATTGGTTTCATGAACCGAGGATCAGTTTGGGTCAAATGGTGCGCACACAGCAGAAACATGTCGAAGCCTACTCTTTGGGGTTCAAGTTCTCTAGCTAGCAGAGGTCAACAACCTAAAACCGCCCGAACCTTGGGAATGGCGCATTTTTTTGTACATTTTGGTAGGCTCCAAGTTTTGGTATGTTGGCTTTGAACAAGGCGATTTTACACTGTAATACGGCGATTTTTGTGATATCCTTGGGAGGCAGTTTACAGTGTATTTGGGCTTTTTGGATATCACCTTTTTGCGTCAGGTTCCTGTCAGTGACCTTTGACCTGACCGGTCTTGAGGTTTGGCTTCTCCCGACATGACAAGCTGCAACTCAACTCAGTCAACGTGGGGTCTTATGTCCGTTACATCTGTTGTTTTCTGGGTCATAAGACTCATATGCCAAAGTTTCATGTCAGTGAGAGGTTGTTGAATCACCCACCAATGGGACACTGTACTTGGACATGCATCTTCAGGTCTTGAACAAAGAGGATTTGGAAGGCGAGTCTTCGCAGCTTGGGTGGGTGGGATCTTTCCTGTTCATTCCTTGGTTCCCCAAGGTTCCAGCAACTCAGTCATGGCTTTCATGTTGCTTTTATTGCAATACCCGGGTGGCGACTTGGACCCAGGGAGTGAATGGAGTCGGACGTTTGGAGTCGGTTTCAGGTCGGGTTTCAGGTCGGTTTCGTATACCAGCCTCAGCATGGGCAGCTAGGCAGCTAGGCAGCTCGGGCTCGCCTCAGCAAGTACTGTACGTAAGGTCTTTGACACTTGGGTTGGCTCATGTGACCAAACAGCCGCTGGGGTCGTTGCCACGGCTGGTGTTGCCGTCCCGGTTTCACAAAGAGGTACGATGATCACCAGAAAGGTATGGCAAGGGAGACACTTCGTCACAAGGCTCTCTTTCAGGTTGGCGAGGTCCGACACAACTCTTCACGCATGAGGGTTGTTGATGCCATTCAATCAATCATTCTTGACTTGGTTGTTTTTGCTCACGACAGAATCCTGCGATCCCCCCATATTTTGTCCTCGTCCGCTTGGAATGTCACTTTTCAATCCTTTGTCCAACACCATTTCCACCATGATCTATCTGAATCTATCTCTCACCACCGCAGGATGTTCACATCCGCTCGGATCGTCTTCCCGGCTGGCTCGGGCTTGCTGCGAACCAGGCCAGTTTAGCAAGTTGGTGGAGGGCTTGTCCGATGCGAAGTCCACCGCGGACATGGCGCGGGTTTCCGCGTGGTTTTTCGGTGTTTCAGTGTGGGGTGCGACGACTGGCGGACCTGAGTGAAGACTGGTGGCAAAAAGGGACACACTTTGGCAGGATGCTTGGATCAGATTGCATGATTTCCCAAACATTGGGGGGGATGTGAGCATGCTCTACATCATCGTTGAGATTCCATACTACAGTAACAAAGTCTGAGGGCTTGGTTGGTGTTTCCGCATCCTCACACTTGGAACATTGAGACTGGCCGACACAGGTGACCTCCGCCGACTTCTCCGTGTTTCGGTTTTGATTGCTTTGTTCCTGTTTCGGTCTGGAACACCGGGGATGTCTGGTATCGCAACAGCTCGAGCTTTGTACAGGCAGAGGACACGTTTTTTTCCGGCCATATCCAGAATCTAAGGCCCTTAGAAGGGCAATTTGGATGACTCTGGGCTCTGGACGCATGTTTTTTGAACGAGATTTCTTCCAAGATCCATTTCTCTTCAGCGCGCTGCCCCCTGAATGTGAGAGCAAAACGCCTCTAACAAGTAAACGACTCACCAATATATAGCTGCCATCGCTTTTTCCAGGGTTTTTTGTGCATTTTTGTCCCTGGCTTTGTATAGGTACCTTCTGAGCTCGTGGGAGTTCGGGAAGAACACTCGCCCAGCTGCAGTGCAGATAGCGCCAGGTCACCATCTTGTACGGCAGTGAGACGGGTAACTCCGAGGAGCAGGCGAAGAATCTCATGCAGGACGTCCCGAATTTGGGAGGTCTTCTTCGTCATCTCGGTTGGGAAGGCGATATTTTTGGTGTACATACTCGACGCGAAAAGGACAAAGAACAATTGAAAGCAGTGGATGCTTGGGCGTTTGATTCTACTCCACATCACGAACTTTTTTTGGTTGGTGGTATGGAGACACACATAACTTAGAATAGGGATGAGCAATCGAGCTAACGCAGGTTAAATGCTAGCTAGTTTGATGTTCTTGTTGTCATCATCTCCAAATAGTCTTCATCCTTTGATGTTCTTGCATCCGCTATCTATCTTTGAACAATCCGGGATCCGGATGAACATGTTACACAGCTCTGGATCATAACTCAGTTCCGTGGAGTCAAACGATAACGCTTGCTTGGATGAGCTTCCCGGACCGATTTGTTGTCTTAGCCGGTCGCCCACATACGGAGAGAAACCTTTGGAAAACGACCGAACTTGCTCCCAAATTCTCCAGTGGTCTTTTTCAGCAGCCTTCCGGCTCATCTAGATGGGTCCTTCTGCCTTTCGCCGAGCCCCCAAAACGTGTGACATGAGCAACCGCCCAAAACGTGCAACGACTATAGCCAAGAGCGGTGCTCAGAACATCTGAAGACTCCAGTCCCAGGCTGCGCTAGGCTGCGCTAGGCTACTCGGAACTGGCCCAGCTGTGTCGACCTGCGTGGGCACTGGACCAACCGGCGTCCGCACGTGTCGACACGCCGGGCCCCAAAAACCCGCAGGACATCCGCGCACGTGGACTGAAGGCTCAGGTGAGCAGCTGTGATGATTTCGACTTCGAGGAGCTGCCGAACCAGAAGTTGGCCCCTTGGGTCTGAGCCAAGCGAGAAGGTCGCGCGTCGTGGTCAACAAGTGGTCGACCGTGGTTTTCAAGGGCGAGGTGGTTGGTTGGGCGCGATGGGAGCAAGTAGGACATGTATCCAGTGTAGCTGGTGGGTTGGCCGACCAAGCGGCTAAAACAGGTCCCATGCATGGGAATTACAACGCGGGATGTGGAGAAGGAACACCAGTCAGCATGAAGTTCCCAGGGCATTTGGGATGTTCTTTTGTAGTGTGTGGGAAGCTTGAAAACAGTTATATATACTCATGCTGCGGCATATGGTCGATTCTGTTCATTTCGTGGTCAACCAAGGTCCCCCTGGTTTCATCACCCACAGTCACACACAATAAGCTACCCCTGTAGGTCTACCGGCGGAATCGTGCTCGCCATGGAGATTCGTGGTCAACCAACACCTGCAACTCTCGGAGAATCCCTTTGAAAGAGGGTGTTAACTACCGCCAGGTAGACCTCGTGTTGGGCCCCAAAATCGCTACTAGCGCATGGTTGGGCGAGTAAGCTGCTGCTTTTCAGCACCTGCCCCGATTCCAGGTTCGGTGCTGCCAGCTGAACCTGTTTACACTGAACACCTGAAAAGTCCATCAACGTAATCTACAGCGAATTTGAAGGGACATAGTACGGGGACATTCTAATCGTTCTGTTGCAGTTGGGTTGCTTGACTATGCCCGCAAAGGGCTGCATGCTATTTAATTTGGACAAATGTCTAAAATCGCTTAAACGCGTCACACTTTCCAGTACACTTCAATAGAAATCTGGACAAACCGCCACTCGTTGCTTGATCTTGGCTGGTTTGTATTCCCTTACTGGAAAGATTCAATTCGTGGGGGAACAATGATGAAGATGCTCACTTCTCAACATGACTCCCCAAGTATGAGCAAAATTTGAAGATCCAGGGGCCTCCTTTTCAACGGGGTGCGATCATTTCTTCGTAATATGAAATGCACGACGGATCCCGTAGTTTACTTACTGTATGTATATACTAATCCGAATAGACTGTGGTCTTGGACCCAAACCGCTTGGTATCCTGGTATCCCCTACGCGTGAGGGTGAATATGCCGCAAACGACGAACCCAGGTGATTTTGGTGGTGTCCACTTGTGGCCTTGGCGAATTCCCAGCCAACTGCAAGCAGACCTGGCTGAAACTCCAGTCCCAGGAGGGTTTGCCTGATTCTGTCGAATGGTCGCTGCAAGCTCCAAACATTTTACTCCGCAGTCTCGTCGCAGTCATACTGTACCACATCTTGGGTTCTTTCCTCAAGATCAAGCATTATGTGTCGATGCAGATTTGTGCCAGTCTTTGAGCAGAGTCTACCCATATTAGTGTGTCAGACATCACTCAACAGCAGCAAACCTTGATGTACTCCACCTGCAGTAGACCTTGTTCACAACACCGCGGTGGCCAAACTGCAGGATCTGCCGATGAGTTGGCTCTCCGGAACGAAGTTCGCCGTCTTCGGGCTGGGCGACTCCACCTACAGCGACTCGGCGTGAAGCACTGCCCTGGAGTGAAGCAAAGCCGCACTTTTCATGGCAGGAACCCAACAGAAGTCGACCACCCCAGCGACACACCCAGAAGTCCAGAAGGTGCTGGGAACCCACCCAGAAGTCGTACACTCGTTGTTTCGGACCCACGCGATGCTGGTCAGGCCAGTTCTGCGTGGCGGCCATTCAGTTCGACACGCGCCTCGGCGAGCTGGGCGGCCAACGCCTCCTGAAGCGCGGCGTGGGCGACGACCGCGACGAGGACGGCGGCCCGGGACGTGCGTGCGGGGCGTTGCGTTTCGAGTGGGAGCAGGGCAGGGAAGGCTGGTGGAGGCGGCGAGCCTTGGTTCAGCATGTCACACTTGAACGAGTGATGCGAAGAAAGAATGACCCGACCAAACCAGCCGTTCTGTAACGACCTCCGAAACATGCTCGCACGCCGCTTGCGGATGCACAAACCTTCCACCGCACCATGCAGTCCAACCTGAAGGCGTTCTTTTTGTCCAAGACTTGCTGGGTGTTTCCTGCAAGGACCGCTACTACACCGGCTGGGAGGCATGGCTGCCAGAGCTTTGGAAGGTCATGGGCCTCCCACAGATGCCACTCTCACAGGCGCGATGATGCGGTGCGCCATGGCTGATCGAAGTGAGGGGGAGGAGGCTTCTTGGGACATTTTGGGGTTCACGGGGTTCCAGTTTTGGTGTGGAGTCAGACTGAGAATTGTTTAGAACACAACATCCGCTCCAAGTGGCTGTACGCCTGTGGATGCTTCTTTTGATCTGTCTTCAAATGCGCAGCCAGACCATCTTTTCGCGGATGCCGCGAGGACCAGCTGGGCTTAAAGTCTCCTTGCCAGCGCTTGACGGTTGGGAAAGATTGTACTCATTTTACATCAATCATCATCAATCTATATCATACATATCCACATTCATATGATACAAGTTCTATCAAGTTCTACCATATTACTATAGACTATATATATATTAATACAATAGACATCAATAGACCATATACATTATATGAAATCAAAGCCTGATCCATCTCTCTGGTAGAAGGCAGACACAACAAGGCATTCTATAGATAGTTCAAGACCATATCTTATATATAGTTCGAGATTAATTATATATATAGTTCGGGACGCTTACTCTGGAGCAACCGTGTGGGGCCTCTTCTGAGGCCCATGCACACATACCAACATATAAGGAATGACATTAATCTATCATGCACATACCAACATGCCAACATGCACCTCCTGCCCACAGACAGGCGCCTCCTGCCAACATTCATACAATGATCATGCACATACCAACATTTATACCACAGCGAGTCAGATTGTCTATGCATGATCATCCACCTTCTCCTGTGGCAGGAGGCGCCTGCGCCTTGCTATCGCGTGGACGTCAGCTGGGGGGCCCGGGGGGCTATTTTTAGCTGGTCGAGTTTTTGGTCCAGCTTCTTGTTACTAGTAGCGATGGCCTCCACCTAATAGGGTCCGAATGCTACTAGATTCGAAGAAGATGAGCTGACAGTTCCGTAGAAGATGCTATAGAAGATACTTGCACTTGCGATGCACCTGTTTTGCGCATTTTCCGCGTGCGTTTGGCACGAAAGAATCGATCTAGGTCCGCACCGGGACGTGTCCATTCGGTGCGGATGAAAATACCTGTCCGGTGAACTTGTCGCAAAGCTTCAGGGTGAGGAGCTGGAATACATTGCTGCAAGCAGCAAGCCTGTCAATGCACTGAAGAAATTCCTTGCAGCTCAGCTTGGGTACTCCAGATTTCGGCAGAGACTCTTGCAAGACACGGTCGAGCTGTGTGACAATGCTCCCTCCATCCCCTCCAGTGTGCAGTTGGTCATCTTGGGGCTCCAACCCCCGGATGCAGTCACAGACCAAGCCTTTGTTTCTGCCTGTGCTCAGAATCGTTTGATTGAGATTGAACATATTCTTCAGGCGCTACATGATCCAAATCACAAACAAGGCAGCCAAATTCCTTTGGTGTTGACAAAGATGCTGCTAGGTCAGATGGCTCAACAGCTTTGCATGTTGCAGCTGGAAAAGGTTACCCGGAAATGGTACAACCTGCTGCTGAAGAGTGGCGCCGTCGACGATGCCACCACGGAAGAGGGCACAGCTTTACACTTGGCAGCTGGCAATGGCCACGTCGGTGCTGTTGAAGAGTGGCCTTGACCGATTCGTCACCAGAGGTGGTGCCACAGCCCTGCATGTGGCAGAAGAACGTGGCCGAAGCTTGCAGTCGTCCGACTGAAAGATAGAATGCCAAACTATTTGAATCCTTGCAGCTGCATGTTGACCACTTTCCCAGACTGCAGGCATTCCAACTTGAGCTGCCAATCTGTACATTCTAACTTTCCCAGACTTTATTAGATTGAAATCTATCGAAACCTACCACCCGATTTTTCCAAAACTATCTTTTTTCAAGCATTCTATCTTTCAGTCCGACGCTATACGATGAGTGATGAGGAGAGATGCTGATGTCACACAAAAAGATGTTCAGAGTTGTGGATATGTTTCCCCGAGAGCCTAAGAAAACAGTGCCCTTAAGTGAAACCAGTCACTCTTCTTCCGTGCAAACCAAGCCATTGCTGCCATCTCAAGTAGTTGAAACCCGCATAAAATCGGAACCCTTAACCTCCCCGATACAGTAGGTAGTCCCTGCGCATGGTGATTGGTGGCAGGTCAACCAGATCATTTTCGCCAATTAAATCGCGTACTCACAGCAGTCGCACCAGACGACTCGTCTTCCGCAGCGATGCGGAACCGCGTGATTCCGTCGATGCTTCCGCACGCCATGCCCGGCCATTTCGATTGGACGATCGGAGACCAGATCGAAAACATCTCATATGTGAAACATCGAATTTGATATCAAGTGCAGCAGTGACAGCACAATCGCTATTCACTAGATTCAGCTCACACATCGACCTACTTATTATCCCTGATCCTTTTTAGTTTTTGGGTGGTCTTTTCCCGTTTTGCTGTGTGCTTGATTGCGCCTTCTTGTTTCTTTTGTTTGTCTTAGGGTTTTTTTCTGGTCGACCTCGCATGGCACATCATCCCGGCACCCCTGATGTGACTGGCGTCGCATGGCACCTTCCTGGGAGTCGCGTGTGTTCAAGGGGCCCATCCGTCCGGCGGAAGGATAGACAGTGTGTTTTCACACACCACTCACCCAATCCAAGAGCTCATCCAAAGCACCATGAGATAAAGATCCAGTGATCTCCGCATATGGACTGCGCTCAAAAAGCTCTACTCAAAAAATATAGATACTGTAAACGTAAACTTTTTAGGGTTGGAGATGTGTTTTAAGTCTTCGTTTAGAAGCGGGCCCCCAGCAGACTATGGTGATACAGCAAGGCAGCGCTAGATTGGCGCTAGGTCTATTCATAACAGGATAAGCAAAGAATAAACAAGCAGAGAGCAGGAAAAAGAAGAAGCAAGACAAGAAAAAGGAAAAACAAAGAAGAATAAGAAGAAGAAGAAGGAAGAAGAAGAAGAAGAGGAATAATATAATAACAATAATAAGAAGAAGACAAGAAGAATAAGAATAATAATGCACAACAAGAAGAAGACAAGCAAGCAGGAAAACTAAGAACCTGACAGGATGAAAATCGACGGAGATTTTTGCGCTAGCACCGCGCTAGATCTGCGCTAGCACCGCGCTAGACGACGGTCCATTTCTTCACCTGCCCCATCCAACACCTAAATGTTTTGAGTCAGCTCTTACGTCCTTCCTATGTCGTTCTGAAAACTTCTGAGACTTGGAAACAACTGCAGAAGTCTAGCAGCAGCAGTGGCAGCAACAACAACAACAGCTCCAGCAGCTCAACAGGCCCCTGAAAAGGTCCGCGCTAGACACCTCTCACAGTTTTTGCAGTTGACATGCCTTCATATTGAACATCCCTGTGGTTTGAGTGTGGTAGGAGTTTAAAAGAGATTAAGAAGCGGGCCCCCATGGAATTGCGATGAGTGCACCATTTTGGGAAAAGACATTTTGGAAACCAACCATATGAAGACCCTGGGATCTGCCTTTTGGTCATTGTCCTCCATTGTACCAGGGCCTGCAGCTTTGGGGAAGTTGGGGAGAGACCCTATTCTTGAGCCGCTGGCAGCGGCAACACCACGGCCCAGGCGGCAGCGGCAAGCCTCCCATCAGCGACGATGACATCGTGCCGCCGGGCGCCGCGAAGCTCACCCTGCTGCACAACTCCCTGCTGGTGCCGGAGAAGTACGATCGCGACATCAGGTGCGCGATGTGTGGAGATGTGTGGAGATGTGCAGAGTGACGTGCGTGGTGGGCTGGAATCTATGTGGGTGTGTTTGGGATAGGGAGACCCCCAACCAATGGGTAGACTGGTCTATTGAGTCTATTGGCTTTCTTCCAGGGAGTCTTTGGGAGGTCTCCCTGTTTTGACACACAACCGTGTATTGAGGATGCTGATCGGGAAGTAACCAATGGACAAAATGGGAAACACTTGGTAAACCTGCATTGAACATCAGTGAACACCTCTACCGAATTCATCAGAACAACACTGCGGTCTCCGTGTCCACTCTGCAGTCTTGTGGGTGCGTAGCAGAGGTGGTGAAATGCAGCACTTCGAGGGTTTGCCTAAAATGCTTTTGGCAGTCTGACAAAGCACCTCGTACTAGTAACACGGGCATCGCTATTAGGAACAGGTGCATCGCTACTAGTAGCAAGAAACTACTAGAGGCAAAGGGGATTACTAGTAGTAGCAAGAAGCTACAAACCCTGTAGCCCGAGGGCTTACAAAGACTTCCAAGCTTCCTTTCTGACAGTTCTTTGGTGCAGCGTTTTGAACTCATTACTCGGTGGCTTGCCATCAGGTTGAAGACAACGCCCTGGGGGTGCCTGTGTGTATTTGCTCATTGATTGCAGATTCTCTATTCAAGCTCTTCCCAGTCGTAGTGGTGAAGATGTTGTCCAAGCGTCAACCCGACTCTCCGAACTCCCCAGACTTGTCAACGCTGCTCAGGCACTATGAGTTCAAGCTCCTTGAAACGAAGTTGGGGGGGTTCACTCTCACGTCTGCATCTGCCTTCGTGGGGGTGGGCTAGGGCCAGAGCTTCGGTTTTCGTGGTGGATGCAAAGTGACTGCGAGCAGGAACAAAAAAGACTGGCACTTTCTCGAAGCCAAAGACCGCAAAATAGATGGAATCTTACTGGTCACTCTTCGACTCAGGGATGAACCCCTGCAGTGATCTATGCAGTAGAGAGTAGGAGGACACCAAAATACTACTGTTGCAACCTACAGATCTTCGATGATTTTCGACCTACGCGGAGATGAGTCCAGAGATTTCTTCGGAGTATGGGCTCCCATGGCCCGGCTCTGGGCTCTCATGTCCCTCGTGGAAGTCTGGACCCTAAGGATTGAGGGAACGCCAGTGAGCTACAAGACGGGTGATTCCCTGGCCGTTTGGCCACGGAACCCCTTTGACAAAGTGGAGGCCAGGGGAGGTCGAGAGGCTTGGGGAGGTCTCCTGGGTGTTGGTCTCCTGTGTTTGAGGTGGGCGTTGTTTCAGTCGAGTGCTTGAGAGTTTTCTGAAGTTTCCTGGTGAAAACGGGCGGCTTTCATCGTTTGAGGGTGGGGTGTGCCGAGACTGAGAACGGTTTCACCATTTTCACCCGAGCGGAGTCTGGCAGCACCACAGTACTGCCTGACTTGTGCAGTCTCATCCTGAGATCTGAACAGGAAGCCATTCACCCAAAACGACGAAACGGATTCTGCGTCTGTTCGATCGAGACTCCCCGGCGGCGAAAGTCTCTGGACGCCTCCACAGGAGTTCTGCAAGGAGATGGGTTTCGACGCCACGCAGAACTTGCGGGTTTTGCCCATGGAAGGTGCCTGCCGGAGCGAGGACGCCGTCGTCGGAGTCTTCGATTGGAAGAGATGCGGAGCTTGTGGAGCCTGCCTTGTGACCCTGTAAAGAGTGCCGTGCTGATTCAGCCGGCCAATATGCTGTAGCCACTAGTGTCTGTACCCCGTGCTCAACCCGCAGGTGCACGCAACTGGTGCCCGCAAGAGCTCTCGGTACGGCAATTGTTCAGCCACGTGCTGGATATCTTTGGCAAGCCCAACCGGAAGTTCTTCGAGACGCTCTCCTTCTTTGCCAAGGCTGGTTCCGGATGGGTAGCCGGGGAGACCGGGTGATAGAGGCTTCGGTCAGGACGGTTCCTTTTGGTTTCTCTTTTTTCAGGGATCCGCTGTTTGAGACAACATCCTCAAGAGGACTTATTCTGTTCATTTCTGTTCTTTTTCCTGTGTTCGCGGCTACTTCGAACTGACGTTGGATGGTTAGGGAGGCATGCTGGCCTTCCTTCTACAATTCACCCTGAAAAACGTAGAGGAGATAACACCTTACCCGTTTTTTCATCCTCGACCCTCGCTGCTGGCTTCTTGTCTCTTCTCTCAACCCTGGTGCTTGGCACCATACTCACCTTTTCTTCCACCTCGTTTGCATCAGTCTGCATCTCCAGGATGAGGCCGACAAGAAGGCATTGCAGAGCGTGGTGGAGAACAACGCCGAGGGCCAGGCGTTGTACCGAGACTTGACCCACGACTTTGCACACCACGCGGACGTCTTCAAGAAGCTCCTCGGACGAGTGACAAGAAACTGTTGAGGGCACGTGAGGAGGTGGAGGTTGTGAGGTTCAGCTTGTTGGGGAGGATAGAACAATGTGGATGGTAGAGGATTGCAACTTTTTGAGCCTAGGAGCATCCTTAGCTTAGGTATCGATAGGAAAAAGATTGAACACGTATAATTACAGTACAGCATTTGATCAGCAAACCCAGAAAGGTAGCGGCGACGCTTAGCAAGTATTTTTGTCATTGGACTTCCGCCGTCATCTTCCAAGACACTGTTTCAGTACTATCAGGAGCAGGCAGTTAGACTTCACCATAGGTATTCAGAGGGCCTCCCGGCATCGAGGCACGAGGGTGGCACGGGGGGGCAATGGATCACACAAGAGACACAGTAGTTGTTTGAGATTGCTACTCCCGATCATTAAAAAGCAAGTTGCTGTGTCTGGGTGACACAGAGTCCCTTGCCGATGTTGCCAATCCAGTCCGTTCTATCCCAAAACAAGTTCGCGTTTGCTCCGCCCGATGACATGACATGGAAAGCAGTTGACACCTAGAAGCGGCACTGTTTGCACATGGCAAGACACATATTTCGCTTTGCCTTTTCTCCACTGTTTACACATGTTTGGCTTGCCACCATCCTTAAAAATACAGCAAGATACAATGATGGTTTCTGATCACATGCGCAACGTTGACCATCTTGGAGATTCTTGGAGTATAGATATGGATTCCCCGGAATTCTATATATACTCCAGAATGACTATATCACTCCATTAGCGCCGAGGCCGAGGCCACAAGCTCTTTTACTCCACAAGCTTTTACTCCCAGCAACCACCCGCCCAGGTTCAAGAGCGCGCGGCCACCCATCGAGCAATTGTTGAACATGATCCCTGTCCTGAAGCCCCGCAGTGTTTTGGATGCAGCGGCACCGTGGAGTCGCAGCTCGCAGTTCCATCAGCTCCTAATCAGGGTCCGTCAGCTCCTAGTGAGGCCGAACGAAGCCAAGTGCGCAGAGCACAGAGCCCCCACTGCTCGGCTCACTGAAGTAGATCCGAGCCCTCTGCGAGGAGGAATCGGTGCAAGCCTGGTGCAACCCGGTGGCTGGTTGGTGCAGATCACGAAAATTCGTGGCACAAGTAGCGCCAGTGATTCTGAGAACAGTTTTGGTTGTGATTACTGTATAACTATATATATATACACAAAAAAGCCGTTGCTGACACTTTTGTTGGGGTCTGTGAATTCAGATTTTTCAGGCTGACCTTAGCGTGGAGAATGTTTTTACTTCTCACTTCACCAACCAAAAGGCACGGCGATCGCTGATGGCCGAGCTTGTCGCCGTGCCCAGGCTACTCCATTGCCAGTTCACCGTTGATGCACGCGGACAAGATCCAGCTGCTTGGTTTGCGGGACTGGCTGCAAGGGAACGACCGAAAAGGACCGCTTCTACGCGCTTGCTGAAAGATATGACTGGGTATGACTGGTCGTTCGTTGGACCTGAGGCCTCGGCCTCCTGTCGGGGCATTCTCACAAGAAGGTGTCGACACCAGCGGGCCAAGCACCCTTGGCTACTCTTTTCAAGGGTTTTGGTAATGGAAAAGACCTCATGCGCGACGGGAACTCTTTTCCGCAAGAACACTCACTGCTAGATAGCAGTTGCCCTGGAGTTCCTATCTTTTCAAAGCAGTTCAAGAAAGTAGACTACTGCAAGAGGAAAAATTGAGCTTGCAGACTGGCTGACTGGCCAGGAATGTTGAACGATTAAGTGCTGAGTTGGCTTATCACTCTCAAGTTCCCCGCGGTTTTACTTGTCCCGCAGATAGAGGAAGCGTTGATGAGTTTTTCTTTTGGGACCTGTGCCTTGTGCGTGGGGCATTTTAGGCCCAAAGGGTTTTTTGATCCATTTTCCTTTCGGAGGGGGCTTGACACCAATTGCCGAGTTCGGGAGTAATCGATTTCTCGAAAAAGTGTCGTCGTCACAAGTAAGAGGAGAGGTGAAAACAGAGGTGAAGACCGAGATGGAAAGGCCATCACAGGGTAGTGTTTTTTTCTGCATTCAGTGGCGTTGCAATTTCTGATGGAAGATTCTCCGAAAGTGGAACATATTGTCCCTGCCCTGACAAAGACGCAAAGGGGCTCCATGCCCGTTCTCTTTGTTATGGGGTTCAGGAGCATTGCCGGATTACCGAGCGAAGGTGGTGGGTCTTTCTTTCCACCGTGGGTTCATTCGCAGATTCGCAATGACATTGTAGAAAGACCCACCACCAGAACAAGTGGTCTTCACAGTGTCATTAGTTACTAAAGACATGCTCTAAGTAACCCTTAGTTGTTTCAGAGATCTTCAGAGCAGTTCTGGTGCCTGTGTCTGGCCACCAAACAGGCAACACTCCACGTTTTTTGCCACTGTTGGTCGGCAGCCAGTGGGACTCGAAACGTTCACATAAACACCAACCCGAACCCCTAAAAACCTTAGGGTTTGAAAGCCCTGGCTTTGGACCTTAGGGTTTCAAAACCCTAACCCCTAGGAATTTGATGTGTCGTGCCCGAAGGGATCAACGGAGAGCCTGCGTCTGCGTCAGGCTGTGCGTGGTGTTGGTGGACTGGACGGTCGAGAGCACCAAAGAGCTTCGTCTGGGCGAATGCACAGGCGAGGCGTCTCGCCCGGACTCTCGGGTGGCTCAGGGTGGCTTGTTGATCAAGGGCTGGAACTGGTCGAGACCGGACCCAACTTGGCTCGCCAGAAAAACAGGGCCTTTCTTTTGGACCTTCTGACAACCGTTGGTCGGGCGCCGGTAGCTCGAGTCAGTCCAGGGAACCAACTCCTCCAAGTAAATCACTGAGACTCTCGGAGGTCTTGGTCCGGTCGACAGGCTACATGCGACAGCAGAAGCCGGGCGCCACCATGATGTGCGCCGTCCGGCAGAGTGCCATTGTCTTGCCAAAGGCTGGAGAATTTCTGAACATGCTTTTTCTTGTGCTTGCTGCTTTTGTTAATGCCTTTTGTATCCTTTTGTTCTTTGTATCTTTTTTGGAAAACCAGTCTGGTGTGACTCAGTCTGGTGACTTTGGCTTGAAGAAAGCGGGAACTTCCATGCTTCCATGCTTGGAGGTCACGGGGCGGGGTGATTTCGATGACTCAGTGGATCACCGAACCCGAACTCTTCCCCCCGGACCCGATCCTCGCGGCGTTCCGGCTCCACCGTCCGGCCGTGTTCGGCGGGTGCGAAGCGCCCCGCGGGGGACGGACGCCAGGATCCAAGCAAGCCGGTGATCATGGCGGGCATGGGCACTGGTCTTGCTCCATGGCGCGCCGTCACACAGGACGAGGGGGGAGCATGCGCCCATAGGTTGAACGTGGGGAAGGCAGAGAGAGAGAGAGAGATGCTTCAGTTTCTCCTTGCGGTGACGGAAGGCAGCTCCGGTGCCACGATCGAATTGACTTCCACCTGGTGCTGAGGAACCAGGCTTTCCTGGATCAAGTCCGTTTCTGAAATGGGAGTCCAAAAAACTTTCGTCGTCTGAAGATGGTTCATGAGACCAGCATCATCACCAATGCAGTGATACATGTCGTTTTCTTCCTGGATCCGAGTTTTGCAGCATCACATCCATTTCTGATAAGATCATGGGAGAAGCTCACCTCAAACCCTTGCTGGCACCAGACTTGAAAGATATCCCACTGCGTTACTGTCTATATATGTATACATGTGTTTCGCGTGGCTCTTTGCATTGGTTTTCGACCAGGAGCGTGTTTGTCAAAATCGACAAGGCCTCAAAGTGGGCCCCTGCCACCTCTTCTTCGGCGCCCGCTACAACGCGGAGACCGGGAGTCGAGGGTAGTCGAAGCGGTGGGAGAGGGGATCGGCCCTGTAAGATATACAGCTAAACTACAAAAGAGTTGTGTTGACCCCACTTTAGACGAACGTGCAACCTGTTGCGCAACATAGCGCGTTTCTGTGATCGTGAAACCAGTGAAAAATAGAGTGTGAAGCGGTGCCTGCCAAACCCACCGAAAGCATCAAACAGTCTCAGTCACCTTCAGTCAGTAGGTCTAGTTTCACTTGTTCAGCCTCCCCCCACGAGATCTAAGGCCATCCTCCACTCGCAGCGCCGATTTGAGGAGTACCTCTACAAGGATGAGTTTGAGAGCTACATCAAGGAAGGTGTCCTCTCCATGCACACGGCCTTCTCGCGTGAGCAGGTGCAGACTTCCGCCGAGACCTTCGGAGCTCGACCGCGGTGCTCGCTCCGCGGCACGGACCTTCGGTCGCCGGAACCGGTGCCGAAGGCGGACCGAAGACGCGGACGGATCGTGACGGACGAACGACCACGTTGGATGACCACGTTGGACTCGACGCGACGAGGGTTTTGTGAGTCGTGGGCTCCACAGGAAAAACGGTGTTTCTTCGGCCGCGTGGCCTGGACACTTTTGGCTGGACAGCGAGGACGAAAGGAAAACGACTCATTAGGAAAATAGGAATAGATCAACACCGTGGTTGGGAGTCCCTTCAGTTCATTGGTTTTGACCTGTTCGAAAGGAATTGCATGGATGGCCTGTTCTGACACCTTTGACGGTCTTTCTCTCACATGGTCCTTGAACCACCTTTCTTGGGGTGACACCACCTCCTTGTTTTTCAGGGTTTCACTCCTTTCTCAATATTGGGGTTTTGGTTGCACCCTTGCCCAAGTCTCGAACTGGGATGCGTTTCCCAGTCTTCCGGCTTCCGCGAAACCAGGCGCGCAAGATCTATGTGCAGCACAAGATTGTGGAGGCAACTGCTTTACATTTGTTTTACTAAGTCAGGTGGTTCACACATGAAGACCAGAGTTTGGTGATGTTTTTCATTTGTCAGGTTGGGAGTTGGGCACATTAATTAATGGAAATTCCTGGAGGGCACCGTGGCACCCAACAGTTTGTGTTTGACCAATGTGAATATAATATATCGAACATTTTCAGGCTGAAACTTACCAGAAACCAGAAGTTAACTTATATGACTTATGACCAACATGCAGGGGTTTGGCGCAAGCGAAGCTTCCAAAGCCCTGCACGGCGCTGCACTTTGCTACGCCACAATGGCCTATGCCTATAGGCCTACTATGCCTATAGGCCGCCTAGCCGAGGTGATGCGGCGGCTTTCGCAAGATCCTTTGGACTCGTGGGACTCAGCTGTTGTGCCAAAGGACTTGGAACCAACATGGCAGGTTTGATGCCACCTGACTTGGAACCCTCCCTTTCCCCAACCGGCTTTCGACCACCGGCCGACTGGTTCCGAAGCAAAGCCGCATCGCGTGGCCTCCAACGGCACGTAGCACACTCTCCATCTGACCAGGCCGGGGAGGCTGTCCACCAGTGCATGCTGAAGCAGGAGGGTCACTTCTACGTGTGCGGCTCTGCGCGACAAGTCCCTGAGGTGCGGAGAGGGCGGAAAGGGAGGACATGGTCGCCGAGGGGAGGGAGCTCATTTTTGGGAGAGAGAGAGTGAGAGAGAGGTTTGATTTTCTATGATTTTCTCATTCTCTGTGACGAATGATGGTTCATGACCCGCGGAGGTACTGTGACCCCGCAACCATCCATCGCATTGATCATGAATCTGGGTTCCAATCTCTCATGGTTCCAATCTGTCGAACTCTGGGGGAGGGAGGAACGAGTTCAGGTTGGCCAAGCAACCATTTCTTGCGAAGCCATCAGGTTAGGTCAGGTTTCTTTGAGGATGGATATTCCATGATGTTTTTCATGGGTCATGGGCTCATTTGGGGTGATCCGAGCAACAATCTAAGAACCCCGTCAAAGAACACTCAGCTCAGGTGATGAGAGCACGGACCGTCCTGTGACTTAAAGCTACCACGCTATCTCCCGACCATTCTGGAGCTCTTCTGCAGTCCTCCCGAAAGCAAACAGCGAGGAACCTCGCTCGCCTCAGAACTGTCTCAATACCGAATACGAGGATCACCCTGAAAGATCCCTACACACGCCCTGGCACGATGTGCCCTGGCACGTTGGAAGTCCATGCTGAGTCTAGAAGTGAGTTGTGAAGATGGTTTTCCTTGGGGCAAGATATTGATATCACGAAAGGTAGCCCTTTAGGGGATACCTTGAGTTTGTCTTGCGAAGCAAGTGTTGGCGCGTCCGGGTCTAATAATTGATCATTCAATTCAACCCCCCCCCCGCCCCCTTGGAATTGATTTTTCAATACAGACCCCCCCCCTCTCTAAATTCAATTCTCTCTCTCATGATTTCAGGAGAGTTGAAACCCTCTTGAACATTCAGAAAGAGTGCATATGAAATTCTAATCACGAAAGGTGTTCCCCGAGGGGATACATACCTAGAGTTTGTTTTGTGAAGCACGTCAACTCTCTCCTGGGGAACGTCTTCGTGAGCCTCTTATGGTTTCAGGATAGTTCAAATCCTATGATGCTCCGATTCAATGCTCACCGATGATCTGAGCCATGGGGCAAGTTTGTTTTCCTAAGAACCTTTTTGAACATTTCGAGAGCATATGTTTGAACATTTAGAGTGCATATTAAAGGTCGCCTCCGAGGGGATAAATACCATGTCGAACATTGCATTTTTGTTCTTGCCTCTCGCGTTCTCTTCTTTTCCCGCTGTCCTACCTTTCGTGTCCCCCTCCTCTCAAGTGACTGATATTGATTTGACGCCCCTTGAAATCAGACACGGGATATGAATGGTTGATGACGTCCTCATGTTTTCAGTCTGGCTTCTTTGACGGTCGAAGGAAGGATGCCGTCCAGAGTCAGAAGATGATGTCATCCACCTTGTTGTCCAAACATCTAGCTTCGGCACTCAAAACCAAGCACTCAAAACCAACCCAAACCTAAGTGGCTTTGTCCAACGAACACATCATCAGGACATCTACACTGCCATGAAGGAGGCCGAGTGTGCAGAGGGAGAGGGGTAGATCGGGAAAATCCAGGTGGTGGCATCAGTTCAAGCCGGGGGGCTAGCCCTTTTTCATGCCCTTCAATCTCCCACGTTTTCAGGGGCTCAGCAGCATTTGGATACTTTATACTTTTCTGGCTGCGCCGGCTTCGCCGGAGTCATTCCGGCACGTGAACCTGCGAAACGTGTGTTGACGTCAGCTTTTTGAATACTTTTGACTGGTTTGCGTGGCCAATTGCCAGCTTCACCTCAACTGATTGGACATTGTTCCGCTGATTCCTCTGTCAATTTGTTTGATTTGTTTGGGGTCACCATAGGCAAGCTGGAAGATACATTTGACGTGACGTGGGCAGACATTCCAAACACCAAAGAACTTTTATGGGATGCTGGTCGGAGTGGGGGTTTCTACATGTGGTTGATCATGAACGTGTGCCTCTTTGTTGCCACTAGAAATAACAGAGACATATACAGATACACAGACATAGTGTGAACAGCCATTGGCTCAGGACTCTTGACGGTTCTTGCAAGCTTTTGACGCTTCATATTACGCTTCATATTGCACTGTTTCTCAAAACACATTTGCGAACACTCACTGCTTCAAATCCAATCCTACCGGTGTGGATCAAAGCGTATGAAAAAACACATCCTTTGAAAAAAACCCATCGATCAACTCACCAACCCCGGGGTCCGAGGTCGCAGGTAGCTTCCAATCCACCCGAGATCGGATTGGAGCAAACGACCTGCATCTAAACCCTTTCCAAACCCTGCGAGGACGAGTTGGGCGGGTGATTTCCTGCCCGCAGTGTTTTTCAGCTGCGCTGATGTCTGGGTGCTGCGTACGCAAGACGAGCGCAGGTGATGATGGCGAACGAGCGGGTGAATGAGGATGAGGCGGAGGCCATCCTCTCGAACCTGAAGATGGAGGGCCGTCCCTCGGGCGAAACTCGAAAATCATCGAGTCATCTCAAGTCTCTGGAGCGGACTCTGCACCTGGACGGACTGGGCCGAAGTCTGTTTGGTATCATTTGGTGGTTTGGAAGTGGGCCGACTCGTTTTTCCTCGAAAGTGTCGGTGTATGAATTTGGAGCAGAAAGAGTGGTTTCGTCAGTCTTCGCCAAGCACATGTTTGAATAATTGTTTTGGGGAGTAGAACTGTTTGGTACGTGGATGTTTTTGAAGAGTGACATAGAGCATATGGTGACCACGGATGAACAGGAGAGCAAAGGTCATCAAGTGGTCTAAGACTCTGGAAACCTGGCTGGTGACTGATTCTGGTAAAGCTCTCAATCGCTCTTGGCTGCAGGGGTTCCTCTTCGTAAACTTATCTCAAATCACTCCCGGGGCCTTAGGGCAACATTTGGAGTTGCCTACGCTCCGCCATCAGTGAAGGATTGCCACTCGTGGATTGCGACACTGGACAACGGCTTGGCGTCATCATCTTTGTGGGGTTGGGAAGCATCCAAGGTCTGACAATAAAGAATGTCCTCATCCAAACTCCCTGAAGTCTTCCATCCCCTCTTTTGAGATGGTGGGAGGTCAATGTGTGGCCTGGCCCATGCAGATTCTCTCCGTGCCCACCCAGTCTTTTGGGGAACATCTGGACCTTTCCGCCGATCTTGCCGCCATTCGACGGTCCCGAGCTGACTGGTACTGAGGTTACACGGTAGAGGCTTGGTCCTGATCTCCGGCGCTTGAGATGAGCACCGCAGAGCTGTTTCCTAGTTTGAACAGAGCCCCCTTTTTGTTTCAAGCAACTGCCGCTTGCTGCGTGCATCCATTTCTTGAAACTCAACTCTAGGTGAGTTCTACAAAAACATCATGAACACACGGGCGGCATTAAACTTCTTTCAGGGTAAAGATGAGATGGGTTCGGCTTGGGCTACGAAATGGTTACTGGATGTTACCGGCAAAGCATGCGCTTTCCTGGATGGAAAGTGTTCCATACAACTTCTGTTTATGCAAACCCAGAGGGCCAGGTCGTTCCTAGGATGTATTCAATGCTCGAGTATTTATTGTGCGCCATATTTCACATTTTGTTGAGGATTTTTGTGCACTCCTTGGAAGGAGCTGGTAAGCTGACACATCTCTGCAAGTATCAAACCTACAGCGGCAGACTTTCACTAGGGCCAGTGAATGCACCTGTCGAATGAAGCAATGAGGGGAATTCAAGCAATCATAGAATCCAATTATCATAGCAGGCGACCAGTGGTTCCAGCTCAAAATGGGAACAGGGCGCTCTGGTTCCTTCAAGGTAACCCTTCCTGATCATTCCCAATAATTCCAACGGTAATGTCATTTCTTTTTCCTTCGCATCTTCCTTCCTTGGCAGTTGGGCCGGGGCTCTCCTCCTCGGGCCGGGCAACACCAGCTTGCCGCCGAGTATAGACTCGCTTCAAAACTCGTTTCGGACCGTGGCTGCGGTGCTGCCAAGACGCCCGGGACCCCAGGTTGTGCACCCCGGAGAGATCGTTGGGGGCTCCGGGTGACGTTGGGTTGGGTTGCGGGGGTCTTAGGGATTATGCTTTTTTGACCCATCAAAGACCTCGAGATTCGTGAATCTAATGTTTCCAATTTTCGGCCTTGAGCAGCTAGGGGTTTTCATGCTTCCACACCTATATACTGTTCTGTTTTGGGATCGCCGTGTGGCCACATTTGCTTCAAAAACAAGGACTTCTTCAAGTGGTCTCTGGCTTTGGATCCCGATGGATTCACTTGCCCAACGTCCGCCTTTTCCAAGGGCACTCGGCAGCTATTCCCCTTCAACGGCCACTGACCCAGGTCTTGTGCAGCGGCGCCTCGGCCCTGAACGCGGTGCGTTTTTCGTCCCAGCGCACCCAGCGGAACTCTGGCCAAGGCCCTGAGGTGACTGGGTGGCTGGTTTGGGATTTGTCGCATCGTGAACGGTGGCGCCCATTCGCAATCGAAACATATCGAAACAAGGGAAAGCTTTAGGGTCCTAATAGCGATGGCCTCCAACCTAGAAGCAATGGCCTCCAACCAAAGAGCCATGGCCTCCACCCTAACAGCAATGGCCTCCAACCTAATAGCGAAATAATGCGAAATACGCAAGCGCTTGATCCACAAGTCATAACTATGAGGTTATTGAATGTTGATGTTTGGCTTTACCGACTTATGGGTTCGCCAAGACCGTGATTAATTTTTGTCCATGACGAAAGCCCAGATCGTGCCAGATCGTGGCCCTCATTCGAGCGAAGACGAAAAAGCGTCACCTGCTGAGAGCATGGCACCGATGCGTGGATACACTTACGTGGGATTGATCCAAGAGTCTATGCAAGACCCTTTTCTCCACCTGTGCCAGTAGGGCGGCAAGGAGTCCTCCCAAGTCAAAGCCTGGTGATTGTGACAGTTTCTCCGCGACATTGTGGCTCAAATTTCAGCATTTTGACGAACTACCGCGTTGTTCAACGCAGCGAACAAGCGGACGACGCCCGTGTGCGACATCGATCGATCATTGATCTGTGATGGCGATCCGTGGGCAGCCGATGCCTTAGGTGCAGCCGACGTTTGAAAGTGTACCGGGTTGTACTAGTACCGCTTCTTTTGAGGGGCAATGTGGTCTTGTGGTTGCTGTTCTTGCTGTGCTGACTTAAGCAGTGACTTAAGGTTAGACACCTAGCATCTGGCAAAAGAAGATGCATACACAAAATAAATCGAGTGGTGTAGCTAGGCATAGCTAGGCTGTTAATTTGCCCTTGGATGGATTACATTTTCACTTTTCCAACTGGTAAGGACAGTCACTTGGACAATCCTTTTGTATCTAGTCGAATCTCTTCGATTCTTCTTGGCCAAGCAACTCCAAATTCTTCTTTCGACCTCGTCTCGACCCCACCCACCGCCTGAGGACGACTCCCTTTGGCCCCTACGGCGGTTTGCTGCATGCCTTCCTGCACCCAGACCGCCAGTCGGAAGCCCCTGAGCGGCTCCAACCCTTGGGTGCGGGCACCGGTGCAGCAGACGTGGAGTATGAGCAGTTCTTGAAAGCCAAGGAGGTGCCACGCTGCCAAGACTGCGAGCTTTCCGGGTCTGGTAGGGTGGGGATTTGCGGGTATCACGTGAGGAACTTTTGGGGGCATTGAGGTTCTGGGTGGTAGATGGCTTGTATTTGCACTTTGGCTATAAGGTGCATGTATTTATTCACACTTGCATTGAGCTTGCGGTTGCAAGTTTTATGTTCACGAAAATTCACTAAAATGTCCCACTGGGACATTTTGGCTCAAGTTGGGTGGCAACCTCGTTGGAGTTGCCAACGGTGATTTTGTGACACTCGTGATCCTTAGGTTTTTCGTTCTTGACGCGCACCGCTATGGCACATCCTTTGGAATCCGAGTACATGATGCTTGAGACTTTCACTGAAGCTCAACCAGCCGATGGGGCTGAGGACGCGGCTACCGTCAGTAGCCCTGACATGGATCGACTCAACCAGGAGGCGGACGTTGCATCCACCGCGCTCCGCCATGCCGAGGACGAGGCCGCTGCTGGCCTCTCCGTTTTTGGCAAGCCGGTCATTGTGGAGGACCTTGACATGCAAGCCCAGATCCGGGACCTCACTCGGCACATGGATGACCTCCGGGTGCAATTCCAAAACATCGAGGACGCCAACAAGGGCACGGACGTCCCAATGCCAGACACTGCAGCTGACGAGGCCTCGGTGGCTGATGCGCCTGTGGCAGTGGCAGAGACTGCCCCCATGCTCGAGGGGAAGATCCAGTGGAAGCCTCACTGGATGATCCAAAGGGGTCGCCAAAACTACCTCCCCATCAGAACTCTGCCCTGGTCCTCTTGCAGGGATTGATGAAGGGGACAAGGTCCGCACCATCTATGATGGCTCGATCGGGGGAGCGAATTCCAAGATCCAACAGAATACTAAGGAACGGACCACTGCACCCACAGTCCTGGACTGTGTCCATGCCCTTCACTGGCTTCATGCAGCACAAAGGCTACAGGCACCTGACCGCCCCCCATCTGGTCCAGGTGCTTCTGGCGCTCCAGTGGGGGGTGATCCACTGAGGACGCCTGCCTGGCAGTGAAGGCACACCGTCGCATCCCAGATCGCCCAACTTGAGGTTGAATGGTGGGTCAACAAAGTGGGCACCTACGGCATGGCCAGTGCCCAGCTCTACTGGGGTAGGATGGCGGCCCTCTTGCTGCGACTCCTCTATTACATCGCCTTCACCACGGCGCTCCTCGGCACTTTGCTCGCACTGGGAACGCCGTTGAGGGCAGCCCCCAAGCACATCAAGGTCGCGGCTGTCTTGGAGGACTTGATCAACGAGGTGGCTATGTCGGCCAATGCCACGAGAAAGCCATGGGCCGTATCCAGTGGGCCACAGCCTGTTGCCCACTAACCAAGTCCTTGCTGCAACCCTTCTGGGCGTGGAAGACGGCCGTACAAACGATGGGACATCCACCCAAGGTTGTCCGCATGTTGGCCTTTCTCCTGCAGGAGCTCTTCACCCCTTCCTTTTGAGCAGTGCTCCCCTCCAAAGTCTCCCTGGTGGGGATGCAGTGACGCTAGCGCTTCGGCCCAAGGCGATGCCCATGTGGGGGGCTGGTGCAGCGAGGATCCCCACCCCTCCAGGCGGAAGTTTTCTGGTGCCACTACCAGATCAAACCTGCCGATCATCCATGGGCTTTCAAAGATGGCAACCCTCAGAAGCGAATCGCGGCACTTGAGCTGTTGGGCACCCTGCTTCTGTGCAAACACCTGATTGCTCAACAAGGTACTTCACTGGGCAGAGTCCGACTACGGCTACCGGCTCCGAATGATTTGTTCTCTTTTCCATTCGCGACTCGCCTTTTGTCGAGTACGAACTTCTCCTAGCGTCCCACCCAAGATCCCGTGACCGGATCTGGTGGGAGTCCTCCTGACCCCGGGCCCCTTGGTCTCCTGACAGGCGCCACTGGCCCTGGACGGAGCCCAGGGGCATAGGGTGTGTCAGGCCTGAGCGGGTGAGTGAAACTGCCTGCCACACCCTTGATTTAAACGTGGAACGGTCACAAGGTGACTTTAAATTCAAGGATGGGGTCTGGGGAGGACCCATGCATCTCTCAAAGCAATACGACAAAAGGCTGCCTGCTGCTTTTGTTGCTTAGGGATGTTTTGGATTTTTGGGTACATTTTCTTGTATATGCCCATTGAGCGATCACAAGTTGCAGATGATTGTTTAGAGCCTAGAGTCTAGATTTTTGCTACAGTATAAAGTAGATATAACATAAAGCATCATAAATCTTTCAATACTGCACAATGGTCACAAATACGGCTTGTCGTGGCTGCAAAGTTTTCCTTCAAAAGCAATCCTATTTGCAGGTACTATTGAGTACATCACTATCCAGTGGCATGTACTTCAGGTTCTGACAATGGGATAGTTCTGACCAACGTACTGCTTGCATCAATCCAAATCCCAGCAAAATAGCAGTATATAATCCTTTTTGCAAAATCCCTACAAACCATCATTCCAGATTAGAGTCTCAAGGCGACCTGACTCGTATGTGTTGCGTACTTCAAGAGTGAGGTCTTCATCCACCGTCTCGCGCGTCGGCTTCGATGTCTCCACCCGCACCGATGCCTCCAGTGTCACCGCAGGTGCAGCGAGCGATGTTTCAGGCTGAGAACAAGACCATCGTCCATCAGTTCGGGAACCGAGTTTTTTGCGGTGCAGGTGGTTGGTGGAGCTGGGTTGGTGGTTGGTTTGCCGTGCAGCTGGTGGTTTTCGGGAACCCCAGTGAAACATCTTGCGGTGCAGCTTTTGTTGCGGTTGAGCGGTTCCTGGCGCCGCCGCGCCAGCACGCGGGGTTCGGGCGCGAGCCGAGTGAACACAGACAAGCAAACTGATGAGAAATGCCAACTGCGGAATGAGCGAAAGAGGGCTGCCTGGAATGAAGAGGGATTGGGCTTTGCATTGGCCAGAATGGTTGTCTTCACCTCTTTCTCTTCTCAGGGTGCACCCAGCATGGGGGAACGCCGGAATCAGTGAATCTGTGGGCAGAAGGGACCGCTCGGAGCGACCCAGAACGCTCAAAAGCCACGAATCGGGGAGCTCAGTCCTTAGGTGTGAACGGATGGACCATGGCCGCGGTCCAAAGCTCCTCCCCTACCTGACAAGGGCAAGCTTCCACCTCCGCAAGAAGGGCAACGTCGTAATCTACCAGGACCTTCCAAGGGGTTCCCAATGGAGATCCATCAGTAGTGTAGGGGCTTTCATTGATGACCCCCGGTGTCGTTTTGCCGCGGCCGAGGGGGTCTCTCAGCTAAAGCTCACCTCGGCTCACCTGCCCACTTGGTGGTGAGACTCGTGGTTCTCAGGTGCGCGGATACCGATGTGATCCAGCCCACTGAGAAGTCCATTGCCTGCATCGATGGCAACCAGGTCGGGACAACCTATATGGCAGCATGTGCCGCATAACTGTAAAGGTGCATATATGTATATATACCGCCCCCTATGCCGATGCTCTCTGACCGTCCGATGCGAGAGGTAGACACAGGAAATATACTGTAGACCGCCGATTAAAAAATCCTCCCCGGATTAATGTCTACATCCGTGTTCTTATTTTTATACTGTTCTCAATTTTTATTCTCTATTTTGTTTTAGCAAATATTGATCTTCTTTCAACTAATATTGATATTTCCTTTTTTTTGTTTTTCAATTATTAATCAGTAGTCTCAATTGTTAGAGGGGGGGTATTACTAATCAAGAGTCTACATTATAGTGAAATTGGCGCGTTTCCAGGTGGAGTGAAGTTGGATTTCCAATGCAACCACATAGAGTATTTATTTGTATTTATTGTTTATTGATTCAGATCCAAAATCACTACATCTTCCCAGACTTTCATCCGGGATTCCCCTTTGTCAGGCGGCAGCGCATGTGGCCTATGCCCTCAGTGACTGCGCCTTCATTTATCCCATCACCCCCAGCTCGCCCATGGGCGAGATGGTTGATGAGTGGGCTGCTCAAGGTGGGACCAGACGTGTTTGCGAGACATGAAGACGTGAGGACGACGCGTCGAGATAGGAAGACCTCCCCAGGCGTCCCGTTCCCGACTCGGACGAAGGACAGGAGTCTACCCGGTTAGGGGCGAGATTGGGATCTCCTTATACCCTATAGAAGTCCAAAGACGATATTTTTGACTGGAGTTAAAGGACATTCCTCTTCGTGTCACCTAAAGACCATTCTTTTTATAGTCTTTGACTCCCAGGGTAGACATCCACACCCATTTGAGTGTGGAACCTGTCGAACCTGTCCAACTCCACGTTGCTTGGACCTTGGGACGTCCGAAGAAGGACGGACCGCCCATGACCGCCACGCTCCGCCACGTACCGACCTGGGCCGCAGGGCTCATCAACTGCTACGGCCAGAAGCTGAGTGTCACCGAGATGCAGAGCGAGGCGGGCGCTGCCGGCGCCTTGCACGGGGCTTTGAAGGCCGGTGCCTTCTCGACCACCTTCACTGCCAGCTGCTTTGTTGCAAGCGAGAAGGTGTGCGTGTCTGCGATGGGTGGAGGGATGGGCGGAGTTGCTGCCGTGCAACGTGGATTCACAGCTCGTCGCTCAGCTTGTGAATGTGTTTGAGGTCAAGGACTGCTGTTGATGATTCCCAACATGTACAAGATTGCCGGCGAGCTGTTGCCATGTGTCCGGAGCCCCAACATGCGCCAACGAAGGCTTGTCGAGCTGCCGGAATTTGGAGGGGTGTAGGTCCAGAACCATCCTCAGGCACTTGGACCCTGAAAGGAGAAACAGTGTCTTCACCTAGTAAAAGGACGATATCTTCACATCAATCTGCACACGTCATGTCTGGTCACACCTGGTGGTAGGGTGGAAGTGATCATGGAGGCTCTCATGTCTATCGAATCATCTCAGTCATAATGTTGGTTGAAGGCTCCCCACAATCCCTCCTTTTTGAGGGGGAGAAGGAATTCTTGTTTACCGCACGAAAGCGGAAGCAGTCAGGCCGAGCCGGCGGCCAAACTAGTTGAACACAGGACATGCCGGGTGCATTTTTATGACCAGTGCCCCCCCAGCAGCTGGAGGGTTGGACTTTCTTGGAGGATTCTTGCACCTGCTCCTCAGGTCCAACTAGCAGCGCCCTCTTAGCTGGTACGTCCCGTTGGACTGAAACATCTCCACCCAAAGAACCACTCCCAAAAGAAACCAGGTCCCAGATGCGACCTCGACAGAGCGCCCCCACACCTCGGACCTACCCAAAAAAACGACATCCTCCGTCCGGTGCCCAGGTCCCAGATCTCCACCCTCCGGCCTTCGGTCGCCCGAACCGAGCCGAGCCGAGCCGCGGTGCCTCCAGGTGATGCACGTGGCCGCCCGCGCCTTGGCCGGGCAGGCCTTGTCCATCTTCGGAGACCATCAGGACGTCATGGCTTGCCGTTCCACCGGATGGCGCCTTGGTGAAGACGGGTCTGGGTGGGTACCACGTGGGTACTCCAGGTCAAATGCAGCGCCTTTGGGGGGGATCCTGGATTTTGGTGGCAAGAAGACGGGATCAGATGATCAGGTGGTTTCTTTTTCTTTTTTAGTCACTGGATTTGGAAGGATTTGGATGGATTTGAAAGAATTGCCACAGCCACGCCAGTTCCCGCGCTCCGTGAAGTGTGTCACAGCCGCCTGTCGTTAGGGCGATGCTGGCGTCGGAGAGCGTGGAGATGGTGCAGTACAACGCGCTGGTGGCGCATTTGGTCTCCATGGAACGCCGTGTCCCCGTGCAGCACTTCTTCGATGGCTTTCGCACCAGCCACGAGGTGCGTTGTTTTTGGAACGGTGGATGGGCGGGGTTCTTAGGTGGTTCTAGGGGGTGTTGTGGAGGGGGAAGGGTGCAGGGCTTCTTGTGGTTTAGTAGATTCTAAGAAAACCCGGCCAGTGCGTGGTTTTGTTTCGAACTGGGTGCCAGTGCCATCTATTCAGATCAGTTGTTTCATGATTCTTTCCAGGACAACTGCCTGCAGTGAATTTATTGTTTTGATCTTCAGAGACTCATTTGGCAATGTCGTTTCATTCCCTTTGCTTCCGGAATACCCATCATACTTTGAGTCAATGAGAGTCCTTTCGCGCGGCTTTTGCTGCATCTCTCTTGGCCCTGCTTGCAGGTGAACAAGGTGAAGTTGATCGATTACAACACCATGAAGCAGTGACTTGGACGAGGAGCAAGCTGAACATGGGGAGGTGGGATGACCAGGCACCGAAAAAGCCGTTTTGAGGCTCATCAACTGGGATGCCGTGAAGGAGCACCACGACCTGGCGATGAATCCTCGCCACCCCCACGTGCAGGGCACCTCTCAGGGACCGGACATCTTCTTCCAATGCGTCGAGGCGCGGGGGACGCGGCGCGTCTTGCTTTGTGTTTTCTTGCTTCATCTTTGATTGAAGGGAGTTACTCAGTAAACACTGACCCGACACGCGTTGATGTGGGCGTTTCCCCTGCGTGTGAGGCCGGGAACACTTTCTATGACGGCTTGGCAGACCTCTTCGAAGCCAAGTCCAAGCGTCGCGGCAGAGTGGGTTCCGGCCCATCAAGTGCTTAGATCCCAACTGGAGGTGAGAAGCATCTTTGGGAAAAACAGGACATCCATGGAAATCCTAACTGACTGAGTGGTGCTTCGAAGGGAAGAATGAGGGTGGGGAGCGCATTCCATCTCATTCCTTACTAAGCACCACCTGGAACCCCAAACAACCCGAAGCAAATGGCTGTTCCATTATGGTGCCAGCTTGAAATCCGTTACATAGGACATAGGAAATGGCTGGGACTGGGGTTCCAGGCAGTCAGATGAGTGTGGATATGGATGGACTTCACCCTCGTGTTCGGACCGCCGGACGGACGGTCCGAGCGTGGGCAGTGAGCGGACGCCGCTAGTCATGTTGGTCGTGGCCATTCATGGACCATATAGAAATGCCCCTCAGACAGTTAGCTCCCTGTCTACCTCCACTCTGCAGACTCCGTGCAGGAGGGAGGTTCAGAGCCGACGGCTCACACTAGATGAGGTCGGGATTCAGGAAACCCTCCGTTAAGAACCCCTTCCCATACTGGTTCGGGGAGTGTTGTTAGCGGGCTCATCCACTTAACCCAGCCACCTCTGGATTGGCTCCGCCTTTCAAAGGCTGGTGGAGCAGAAGACGGGAGTTCACTATGCCCTCTATGCCTATGAAGGCGCGCTGCGGTTGATCCACAGTGTCCTTTTCCACGGCATGTTCACACGAGAGGTCACGTCATGTTCACATCGACGCCGTCATCGCTGCCGCGAAACTCAGCCGTTCGGATCGCTTCTTCACCAGAGCTCGTTGCTTTGGGGTCGCCACATCTGTGGAAGAACTGCTTGGATTGCATGGCGGTCCGTTCTGTGTGACCCACTTCGTCCTCCTCACCCCGCTCGCCGTTCAGGTCGTTCCACCGTTCAGGTCCGGACGGCGCGAAGCGGCCGCGGGCCGACGTGCCGTCCTTCGTGCCGGTCGCTCCGTGCGTTGGACACCGGGGCAGGACACAAGGATGCAGAGTACGTGATCGTGGTGATGGGCAGTGGCGCAGTGACCTGCAGCGAGACGGCCACGTACCTGCAGGAGAAGGGTGAGAAGGTCGCCTGTCAGAGGGCTAGGGGTGGGTGGAGCTGAGGGTCTTCGGGCGCGGTGTTTTGGGTGGGAGATGTGGAGGGTGAAGGTTCAGATGCCCAGCTGACCTACCCAGTGGAAAACCCGCAACACTTTTTGGAATTGGTTTCTCCACCTAAACTAGAACAGGTGGATAACCTTTATTTTCCAGTGAAACTGAGGGGGTAAGGGTACATGGATGACATTGGATTCTATTGGATTCTATAGTTTTTCATATAATATACGCTCTTTCCACAGAGTTTGGACCACCCTCAGTGAACAAAATAACATGTCCGCAACCCCTTTGAAATTCAGTATATAGTGAAACATAGTAAGAACCATTACCTTCCTCCATCATCCTGTCGCTTCCTATCGCTTCCTGTCGCGCCCTTTTTTCGCCGTGTCGTGCAGCTCCACAGCCCTGGCCAGGTGGGCGTCTTGAAGGTCCGCTTGTTCCGCCCATGGGACGCCAACCGCTTCATGGCGGCGCTGCCGAAGACGTGCAAGCGCATCTGCGTGCTGGACCGCACCAAGGACGGTTCTCGTGGCGGATAAGCGCGGCGCGGCGGTGTTCGGCGCGGCGCGTCCTCCCTTTGGCCAGAAGTGGGCGGCCAGTGAGAGAGCTTTGCAATGGGTGTGGGGAACAGCGAGCGAGAGTAAAGAGGGTTGTCACTTTTCTGGTTCTTTCAAAACGATCTCCGAAAGGGAACGGAAGGCCACATACCTGGACTTTCAGGTGCGGGTAGGGAGTAGGGAGGGCCTCTTCCGCTGAACAGGCAATGCTGGTTCCAGCCGATGTTTGGCTTGTCCTGTTGCCTACATTCTGGAGAAACGGTCTCCAAACTGAATCGTCGGGCTTTTAGCAGGCGTCCCATTTTGTAACCTTTGACGTTTGTTCTGAAGTTCTCATTCTCCTCTTGGAACACCCGGTGAGAGCCTCTCATTCGCCAGGAGCAGGGCTCGCAGGGGGAGCCTCTCTTCCTGGAAGTGTCCACCACGTTGAAGGCCATGGGCCGGGCAGAGATCGTCTGCATTGGAGGCGCGGTCTCCCCGTCGATGACCCATTTGGAGTCCCATGGTCATGGGAGATGGTGGGCTGAAGTGCTGGCGGGTGACCAACAGCCCACGTTTGGATCAATCACTGATAAATCAGTTATTCTTTCTACAGCCCTGAGCCTGATGGAGAAAAAGACATCGGGTCTTTTTGGTGGCTTCTGAAGACATCGCCCCTAATTGCTACGACTAGTTCTCAATTACTTGCAACTCAATGACTCCATGTTCAAAAGCTTCCTGCTTATCATTTTCCATTTCCATTGTCATTTGGAGTCTCAACTGGTCTGGTCTCATTGCAATTGTGGTGTCAGGCCGATATGGATTGGGTTCCAAAGAGTTTACTCCGAACATGGTGCTCTCCATCTATGAGAACTTGAAGAAGGCACCTTCCGCTTGCTCGCGACTGGACTTGGAATTGGGGATGAATTGCGGGGGATGAGCAGCTTGCTTCTAAAGTGCTTGTTGTTTCAGTCTCACGATGTTCATGGATCAACTCGAAGGCCTGGGGGTTCTTTTTTATACCATGTGCTTCTAGCAGTAGAAAATCAGTAGTGGCTGCTGACCCAATAGAGTCGTTCTTGAAACGAGACTACAGCCTCATCAACTCGACCCTCATCGACTCGCCCTCCGGACGTCACACCGGCGAGACAGGAGACCCCGAAGCCGCGCTTCACGGTGGGCATCGTGGATGACGTCACGCACCTCTCCTTGCCGGTCGGCGAGTGGCTCAACGTCCTGCCACAAGGTGGGCAGTGGACCCGGCAGCAGAGACTGTGAAGTGTGGGGGGAGGGGTTGTTGGGTGAACCGCTTCGGAAAACTTGATTCGATGGCTTGACGCTAGGCGAACGCGGCGAACTGACCATGCTCAGTTCAAAACATGGGACCCTTCTGCCGATGTTTGAGGCACCACTGAGTGCATGTTCTACGGCTTGGGCTCCGATGGCACCGTGGGCGCCAACAAGAGTGCGGTGAAGATGATTGCCATGGGCACCGAGTTGTACGCGCAGGCCGTGGCCGCACGAATAGTGGCCCCACCTGGGAAGATGAACACGGAACCTGAACATGCACTTTTGAAGACTCACTTCCTCCACAAACCAGTGGTTTTCAGGTTCCATGTTAATCTTCCAGGAGCGTATGATGACATATGATGACAGGCTGTCTGTATCGAACTATCACAACTGTCTCGAACTGCTGTGAGTTGGAGTTTTTGTATTTTGCAATTATTTGGGCTATCTATGGGTTTCCATTGGATGAGACCAGACCTGGAACAAGGGAGGTCCGACCTTCGCGGTGGTTTTTGTGTTCTTCGGTGAGGGGCAAAAGGGAACAAGCCTGGAGGATTGAGTCACTAGGACCTGGATTGAGTGATTCGACTGGAAGCATGGTGGTTTAAGAGTGAAGACCTGGCAGATTCCGGCTTTGGAAGGACTGGAAGTTCCAGAGCAGGTTTTTGAAGCCGGAGTTCCATTGCAACTATACCCGTTTCCGGGGCCGCGAAGGTTGGAAGGAGATGGGATGCGGATGTCGTGAACTTCCCCAATCAACCTTCAAGCTACTCCGTCCAAATGATAGGGACGGTCATGAGTCGACTTGAGTCGGATCTTGCCGGTGGATGGCCATCCCCAAGGGAAGTTTCTTCACCCTGGCGCTCGCTCACAGCTGAGTGTGAAACCTGACACGAGCCGGGACCGGGGACCGGGGCCCGGCCCCGTCAGACGCCCGGCCGACGCCGACCGCTCCGGCGGCTCTCCGGACCGCGCCGGCGGCGGGCGGACTCGGACTGCGAGGCCTACTTCGAGTACGATGCCAAGAAGAGCGGCGGCGTGACGATCAGCCACCTGCGCTTTGGGCCGAAGCCCATCCATGCACCGTGCGCCGTGAAACGGGTCACTGAACAAGGAGAAGTGGGGCTGCTTGGTGTCCAATTTGGACATCATTTCCCGGGCAATAGGCCTTGGTGGAGCCCAGAGTCCTAGTGCTTATATGATCTTATGTGCCTTGCTTTTGTACTAGGGGAACTTTTAAGAAAGTATATAGGGTATATATATATATATATGAATGGCTTGACAAGCCCAACTCCATGCCAGTTGCCACTTGCCCAACTCCACGGGAGGTACAATGTGCGAGCTGCGGACTACCTGGCCGTGCACAAGCCCAGCTATGTGTCCAACTACGTCGCTGGTCGGGGTGGGAGTGAAGATTGCTTTTTTGATTTGGGCAGTGCCAGGGAAGGGTGGAGGGGAACCATGGGATGCTGGCTCCGTTGACCCTGCTCTGCAAGTACTTGAATCAAGCCAGGAACATGTGGATTGACTGTAGACCTCCTAGGCCCAAGCCTCAATAGGGGTGACATGAAATGTAGAGGCAGACTGTTGAGCCAAATCTCGAGATATCCTGAGATGTGTCCTGCCATCTGATGGTGGGTGGAGGAGTTCGTCCCACAAAACCACACCTCGTTCCAGGTCGGAACCGACCGAACACATGTGCCAGCGGTCCCAGAAGTGCGGTCACAGTCTCCGAAGTGCGGTCTTCCAATGCTTCTGGCAACCACCTGGTGTAGACGTCCTCATGTTCATCCATGTGCTTGCTGGTGTGAGGTGGGTGGACAAGACTCTCCGACCAAAAAAAGGGACCTGCTCCGGAGATGGTTTTCTCATGATGGCTCTCTGTGGTTTCCAAACGTTCCATCGGAGTGGTTGTTTCCTCAACGGGCATCGCGGGACGTTTCTCAAGCCCAACGGGACGTTCTCAGGACATGACCCGGTACATGAAGCCCAATGGCGTCTGTGTGATCAATTGCTCCTGGTCGGTGGATGAGCTCAAGGACAAATTGCCTCCCAAGATGCGTCGGGACTTGGCGGTGAAGAAGGCGCGGGAGTTCTCTTCGCGTACCACTCGCGTGGGGGTTGGCGAGTCCGGTGCCTGCAGTGAGTGAAGTGTTGCGGAGTTCGACTTTGGAACACGTGTTGGTTCGGCCAAATCTGATCACGAACGACTCGGAAGACTTTCCATCCGTCCGAATCCGTTTTCGCAATCAGAATCTGTCAGAAGTGTCGGAAGTGTAGAGCGCATTCGGGTACCCTGCGTACGGTTGGAGACCAAGACGTCCACCGCCCTGGGTTACGTTCGTTCGCGACGATGGTCAGGCGAAGTTGTACATCATCGATGCGACACAGATTGCAGTCAAGGCGCGATTTCAGTGGATGCGACGAGAAAAACCGAGAGTGGCCATGATACACATGAATAGATGAAAACAGCAGTTGTCTTGTCTTCCATTCAGTTTTGTTCGTGGCAAACATCTACTGTGGTTTTGGGCCAAGCTTCATGTGTTGATCTTTGGCTGTTTTTCCACAAATCCTCAGGTTTTATGCACAAAACCTCATGATCGGTGATGCATCGAAACATGAAGAGCACTTCCACTCCGTGAGTACTTTTTGGTCGTTTCAGTTACTCTGGTTCCACTCTGTACACTCAGCGACCCAACACTGAACACGGTTTCGAGCGACACGGAAAAACAGACGGCGCAGTTTTTGATGACGAAACAGATGCAGAGAGACGGAGATCACAGATGCAGATGCTAGGAGATCAAAGAACGAAGGGTCAGGTGCTTGGTACCATTTGGTACCATTTGGTGCCTGGCACGTTGAAGCTAGACCACAGCCGTGGACGTTTCTATCCGTTCTTGTGCTGATCCCTTCATTTTAGCGGCAGGAACATGCGGTCGCTGTTTGACTGAAAGAGTAGCGATGATAGTAGCACTGGCACACACGTAGTGTTACTGGAACTGGAACTCCACCCCCCCTCCAAAAAATAGTAAAACAATAACATGGGGGTGCCTTAGTTAAATATTCTGGGGTATACCCATACCTGTTGGTATACAAAAGGCAGCTGCACTGCTTTTCACAAGCCTTTGGACGTTCAGGACATTTCAAGACAACAGAGGTCAAGGCATACCTGGAATACCTGTTAAAACGTTGAAGTTTCCTGAAATAATTGTTACATGAACATCTTCCAGGACGTTTGACCCTGGAATCATTGTTGCTCAGCAAGAACCCGGTCTCCTGCAGCTTTCAGGGTATCTCAGAAAAAAAAGAAAAACATGACAAGACCTATTTCCAACCCACCGTTGTAGCACACGCTGAGCACCGTTCAGCCACACGCTGAGCGTTCCGCCCACCGTTCGGAGGGACCCCCCCCCGTCCCTCCGGTCGGTTTTGAGGCGGGACTGGGCAAGCGCATCAACATGATCATGCAGAGCGTCTTCTTCAAGCTCAGTGGTGTAGCTTGGAGATGACCGGAAGGACCGGAAGTGGAGTGCAGGGCATTTGCCAGCATTTCTGGGGGCTCATTGGGTGATTGGTGATCTCAATTGGAAAGGGGATCCAGACTTTTGAGCACTTTCTCTGCAACCGAGTCACTTCGGTATCCGGTTCGGGGTCAAAGGTAGATTTTGGGCAGGATTATTTTAGATTCCGCCAGGGCCACATTCGTGATTGCCCGTTGCTGACGGTTTGAAAGACGACCTGGAGGCCTTTCGATGTGTCATCTCTGCCTTAGTGCGGATGGCCCCTTTTTCGGGAGGGAGGCTTTGATGTTGCAAAAAACCATGGACGTCGGATGACCCAACCCTACCCTCAACACACGAAGCCTTCACGAGGCGATTTCGCCACAAGCAGGGCAGCCATGAAAGCCCAGAAGCCACCATCAAAGCCGGGCAATGTGGTGATTCTCGTGGTTTCTGCAAGGAAAATACGACAGATAATTACTTCATTCATGATACTTCTATAGAGTCTATAGAGACCCTAGCCTTCAAAGACCATATTAAAGTAGTGGTTGACCTGGTGGTGTGGTGTAAAAATCCTCAGAAAAACAAGGGTTCTTTCGCAAAGACCATTAAAACAACGGTATTTGTTCGATCCCAGGAGATGTAGTGTCGACGCAGAAAAAGGGCAGTTGCCGGTCCGCGCGGTGGAAGCCGGGTCGGGCAGCCTGAGCCGCTTGACTGACTTCTGTCCGCAAGCTGAAACTGCTCTGAGGTCATGCCATTTGAGGAAGCCATTGAAATGCTGAAGAAGAGCATCAAGAAGATGTATGGCAAGAAAGGCAGGCAGTGTGCTTCACTGACAGACATCAGAGTAAGTCAGACCAGCAACTGATCCTTTTGTTACAGACCGGGCAGCCCTTTTTCCACATGGCTTTCCTCTCAAGAAGCTTCCGCAGTTGCATTCGAATGCTTGGCTTCTTCACCTTCAGCAAGGGCCTGACCACCTCAGTCTCCATGGACCCTTCGTTTCTACGCCCACCACTGGGGTATCAAGGAAGGTCCGTGCCATCAGGTGCATGTGGGGTCTCTTCCCGGGTGTATATCCACCTCCATTGCTTTCCCATTCCATTCCCCACCCCAACCCCTCGTGCATCCAGGTGACAAGGTGGTGCAGATGAACATCGACGGGGTAGACGCCTCGGTGAGTGGCATCAAGGAGGTGCCCGTGCCCGGCGACTGGGTCTCCCTCACCGTGCCCGGCGAGGTGGGGGGTGGAGCGCGGAGGAGGGCGAAGGCGGCGAACTGGTCTTCTGAAAGGTTCAAGAAAGGATAGGAAACGGATCCAAACCTTTGTCTCCAGCAAGTGGCCCTTGCGGCGGCTGGGGGCTAGCTGCCCAGCCCACAAAATACCAGTCGGAGCTCTACTGTTTTACGTCTTCGCAGCTTCTGGTGGGCTCCACTCCCCTTCTTCTCGTGCAGGCGGGCGCTGCCACTGGTGAGGTGGCCAAGGGACCTCGGAAGGTCATCGACCTGTTGCCGAAGCAGTTCGCGGACAACGTGCAAATGCCTTGCAACAACTTGGACGCTGGGACTGTTTTTCAAGCGCCGCATACCTGGGGCTGCCGGGTGTGGGTCCAGGGCTTCAGGATCCAAAACCTGGTGGGCTTCAAGAAATGCGGTGGTTTGAAAGGTTCTGGTGTTTTTGATGCTTTGAAAAAGAGTTCATCCAGTAGCAGAAAGCAGTCTAGCAGTTTGGATGCGATGTTTGTTTAGAGGAGGGTAAACCACAGGGTTGAATGTGGTTGAAAGAAGGTCCTAGAATGATTCATCAAAGAAGCATACAATATATATATATATGTGTATGTATAATTAGTCAAAGGAAGTTTAGTGTGCAAAACTTCCGTGTTACGGACATTCAACAGCTGTTCAACCACCACTCATCATACACCACTCATCAAACACCACTCATCATACACCACTCATCATGCACCACTCTGCATACACCACTCATCATACACCACTTTTCATACACCACTCATCATACACCACTCATCATACACCACTCATCATA